ATAGATAACTAGAACGTCCAATAGATGATATAGTGAGGATATAATGAATGTAATGATCGATGAGATATTACACAGGCGTAATGGCACGCCGAAAATTGTTCACTCGGTGTTTGCTCATGCACGTGCTAAGCACGCTGCCCAAGAACAAAGGCCCGTGCAAAAACAAAATTAGGCATCAACAATTATTCAGCAATTAAACTTGACATTTTCTGACTACTATATCCGGACACCAGGATGCTAAGATCGCTCACTGGATTTGCGTTCACGTCTTGCGCATGCGCAAATTTCGAAAACATCTTGTACCAATCGTGCACGACTTGGCTACCAAACATACTCGTCAATTCGTACGTGGTTATAAATTCTCTGCGCGCATTCATAGCGCAAGTCAAAAACTGTTAATTTTATAGCAGATATTATATATATATGATATTAGTGTATCACGTATCTATTCTAATGCCATATGTACAGCCAAAAAGTAGTAATATTATGAGTAACACACTCGGTAGTGTGAGTGCAGTGACCTTCTATTAGGCGACGCAGTGACCCTTGATGACCTAAAATATACTCGCAAGTACGGACTTCAGTGTGCGTAGGAACGTTCCCCTCCTATACCCGTCAGACTATTTGGCACGCACCGTACGTATTGCAACTAGCGCACACCGCCAAACATACACATCTATTCCAGCAATATTATAGACATAAACAGCCAAAGGTGCGCAGTGTCTCATTGGGATACGGGCCTGCATACCCTTTCAGCATGGATATATTTACCGTCGGGTAAGGTAATTAGTGGGTTGATAATAAGGGCATACTACAGGCGTTGTAAACAAAGAGCACAGACGATGCCTCACAGCCACGACCCAGGCCCTCAAAGCTAAGTACTCGGGGAAATCACACAGAAGCAGGGGGGCCGACAACTGAGAGAGCAACTGCAATTCATAAGCCAAAAATGAATAGCAGAGTAAGCGGTATAAACCGGAGCGCGAGTGACACGATCTTCTCTATAACATATTACTAAGTGTCTCCATGTCCAATCGTATTACTGTCGAAATGTAAAAGCTCGCTCAAACTGGGCACCAGACCGCTAATGCGTTGAGTTTTACTGGCGAATCACCGCGAATCAAAATATCGACTTGTAAACGCGCGCAGCCGTAAACATCGTGTCTTCGTAGCATATTAACAGACAAAACGCGCAACGCCCACATAAACTCAGCAAGCCGTATCGCACGTAGCCTGCATCAGCCCAGCGTAATAAATTACAATATATTCAAGTAACCATACATAACGAGCATAACTAAACGTCTACGATTCTTCCTATTCGATTTAGGGATCGATCCTTTATTACATTTATCGCACCCACCGCCAACCCTACGAGATCCGACCCCAACCCCCCGGAGGCGAGGCAACCCCTCACGTGATCAACCGGTTACTCACACCTAACACAGTGCCACTGATGGTATTAGATCACTAGGCACGGTGGACAAAACTCAACTATAAATTACAACGCCTCGAACATCTACAAATATCATAAGTACCCCCTACGATGCACAATAGACGACATAGCCTACCCTCGGTTATGAAGTAGCAGTGAACCGTGCATCAGATGGCGCATTATATAGTCTGTATACTTGACCACTGTGCAAATTGAAATGACGTGACAAAACGACTGCAATACCTAGAGTACAGAATACAAGTGATTGAGACAGGAAATTTATCATTTGTTAACAATTCTCAAAACCGGCAAACGTCATATCGTTTAAAATTTCCTGTAATTTACATTTAAAAGTGCAGAGGCACTCCTATATATGATCGGCAACCGAACAGACAGATTGCGGATTGCAAAAGTCTGCAGCAATGCGAGAGCTTCACAAACACACGATAACGGACTCGCGATCATAAAACCTGTGCACCCGTGAAACCAGTGAAAAGATCATAACAACCTCAATAAACATAAACTCTGCTACAGACCAATTCGCCTGAATAACGACCGACAACCACAGCAGACTATATAACACCAACTCATAACCTAACATGTAATAGTAACCGAGGGAAGCAAATGCTACACACATGTGGTATCTAGTTGCAGTCACACAAAGCAATCGCGTGTTAAAGACTCTATATTATGCGCACGCCGTATTCATTTCCAGCAATAACAGATCCAGCAGGAACTATGTCTATCTCCACAACCGTACTCCACGTGAGAAAAGATATCACGATGACTCATTATTACTAGCCTATAGTATCTAACGAGTGCGATTTAAACAGCCTTATAAGGTTAATCATTATTATGGTATACATAATTCTAAACTCTAATTGTGTCAGCTCTCATTCAATCAGTAAATATATGAAGGTAGAAATAATTCTCTATTGAACATATTGTTGACCATATAGAATAATATAAAGTAATGAAATATACGGAGGTAGTATTAAAAACTCGCACAATAATTCGAGCTTGCGGCTTTATTTAGACAATCGGAATTATTCAGGATGCTTCAGTAAGGAGGTATGGGAAGATGTCCCTTCGTTTTTGCACACAAACAGGCATGGCAACCATTGAAAAGCAAGTTAATCTAATATTCACAGTCATCAATCAAATCATGCTTTGTTGCAAGTTGCTTCAATGAGAGTTTTTCCTGTCATGAAATCCCGGACAATCTCTAAATATAGTGACTAAATATAAGACTTCGATGTAGTTATGGCAAAGGCTAGACATGATAAATCGATCCCCATGACATGCATCGACAATCTCGAGACAACTACGAAAATGTGCGCACAGCATATACAAAGTGCAGCCCTCGTTCGCCCGGTCGCAAGTATGCATCTTCATACAACAGATGGCACTGAGACTCGTACTCATGTATCGCAGCTCTATAAGGTGGCTTTCTTCTTGTTTGCGATATGCTCTCCGAATCTCTCGCACGGCTTGACATGTTAGTGACTCGCCTTCAGGGAGTGCGTCCATTCCACAACGACAGTAATCTCCACAGCGCAGTCCTACCACGACAGAATGACACCGTACGATCAGTGAACACTAGCTAATTATAGGATAATTAAGACATAGTTGCTATAATGACTAGCCATACGTCGAGTACTTACTAGTCGATAACTCTGTGAAAAATTTTGGTCCGTATGTAACACTGTGCGCCTACTAGTCCACGATTCGGAAATGTCAGCAAGAGATCGACCGAGACTCGGGAATTATGGCTGCCCGCGCGGTATGTCTTGTTCTGTTGTGCTACTCCAATCAGTATTGGCAATCCGTTCCCCACTAAGGGGCAGCACGAGTCCAAACAGCTGCTACGTGGTTTCTATCTATGCTATGTCATGTCCTGCCATCCGTATGTCTGCCTACGATGCTGTGGGGCAACGTACAGCGCACGCACAGCCGCACCACCACGCACGCACGCAACGCACTCACGCACGCACGCAAACACACACAACACAGCACGCCCCGCACGCCAACGCACTATGCTCGTAGTACATGGGAGGAGGAGGTGGCAATGTAGCATACTATTAACATGCAATGAACATTTTGCTATTGAGTGAAAATGATTAACTGCCACAGAAAAATCCACTGCACAAGGCTTGGCTCTCCAATGCAAAAATGAGCTTAGCTAGTACCAATAATATATATATAATATAATATAGAATAATGATAACATAGTATGTGTGTGCGTGCGATGCATGTATATGTGAGTTACACAAATGACCTTGCCTTCAGGAAACGACGTCATGCAGCAGCACCACACTGCAAACACTCGGTCAATATCTTGATGCAATTGGTGCCGTCTGCCTCCCGATCACTCCTGACTATGCCTGATACTGCGAGATAAACCAAAAGACTCAGAGCCCACCCTGTAATATCGGGGGATGCCCGTGTCTTAGTAGAGAGAGAGAGAGAGCTAGAGAGAGAGAGAGAGAGAGAGAGAAAGAGAGAGAGAGAGAGCTAGAGAGAGAGAAAGAGAGAGAGAGAGAGAGGGAGAAAGAGAGAGAGAGAGAGAGAGAGAGAGAGGGAGAAAGAGAGAGAAGAGAGTTGGTTATGCAGAGCGAGTCCGCGCGGCGCGCGGGCAGCAGTGAAAAAGGAACTCGTGTTTGTGCAGTCATGTAATCACACGTAGTGAAGTAGTGAAGTTATATGTGTTGTGAACCATCATCTAGTCTGTATTAGTGAGTCTCTGAGTAGAAATAAATCATCTAGTCTGTTACAACAAAGACGTACGTGTTATCTTTACTGTGAAGTAATTCGCTACTCGCCTTACGTCGCACGAGAGACAAAGAGACAAAGAGACAAGTCTGACATCTCCTTCAAATAGGAATTACGCCAGCACGAAACGAACCAACGAACTCAGTTTATAAATTAATACCATAATACAATATGTACGACATTTAATACACTATTGCATGATCAGCATAGCCAACTGCCCACGGTCAACTGTTCCGAAAACAAACCACATAAATTTTCCCTCAAGGAAAAATGAGTTGAGGTAAAATGAGTTCGCTACGGCCCTACTTACCTTATTTCTCGCAAGAGAAGCAGCTTCTCGGGAGAGTCTAATACGTTGAGAACTGGCAGCACCATAGCTTCTACTTGTAACTCGTACTGGTACTGTAACGGTCAATTTCTGTGTTAGACCTGTAAACTGATGTGTTGTGTAGTTCTTCTTTGTTCTTCTGTGTTCATTTGTGCTGGAAAGTCTCTGGTAGGGATGGTGACCCTAACTCGGTCCCTTTATATCGATATAATACACATTTTAAAATCGCCTAAATTACATTACGTTATTGTTAAATTGCATAAATGTATGTACAGAATCAACAGGAAGTAAATCTAACGCCGCAGTCTTTCACCTTCCCTTCGCCCCCCTGCTGACTCACACGATATAGTGTAAAATCCCAACCTATGAAATAATCGTTATCACAATAAAACGAATAATCAGTTAACAAATCTAAAATAAAATTCCTAATAAATCCTTGATAAGCCCCCTTGAAATTTTTTTACGTAGCCGATCGGGACGAACCCTGGCGGCGAAGAAAGATCGTACGATGTCGGTTCTGCGGCAGGGGTTACCGATCTCGCACGAGTCTGCACGGGCACGAACGCCTGCATACGGGCGAGCGACCATACGCGTGCACGCACTGCGATCGACGCTTCATCAACCACGCGACGGCGCTGCGGCACGAACGCGTTCACACGGGCGAGCAACCGTTCACCTGCCGCTACTGCGACATGCGATTCTCCGAGAAGGCAAACGCGCAGCGACACGAGGCGAAGCGACATCTGGCGAGCGATGGTCGAACGAAATCGCCGTAGAAACGTGCTGTTGCCATAGCGATCGATAGTTTCTTCTCTCGCGCGCGCGTTGCTAACTAACAGTTACTCGGCAGACGTACATGTAATACAGCTAACTGACGAATCATAGGGAAGCCTATACAATCTTATTACAGCCTGCAAGCTGGTTGATTGACGGATTTCTTCTCTGTCTGGCAGTATACGGGCTTGCTTGCTTAGACCATACTGCTGAATGTTGACCATGTAATGAGTTTATAATGTGGTTATTTAACAAGTGTGTCTTTAGAAATAATATGAAATAATATAATGTAATGTAATGTAATATAATATGATATGATATGATATGATATGATATGATATAATATAATATTATATGAAATAATATAATGTAATGTAATATAATATAATATAATATGAAATAATATAATATAATAGAACGTAAATAATGTAATGTGATGATATGTAATGTAATGTAATGATCCGATGAGATATTACACAGGCGTAATGGCACGCCGAAAATTGGTTTCATCGGTGTTTGCTCATTGACATGCTAAGCCACGTGCCAAGAACAGGGGCCCGTTGTCAAAAACAAAATTAGCATCAACATTATTAGCATTAACTTGACGATGTTTCTGACTACTATACGGACCCCAGGATGCTAAGAATCGGTGCAGGGTTGCGTTCATCCTTGCGCATGCGCAAATCGAAAACTTCTTGTAACATCGGTGCACGACTGGCACCAAACATATCGTCAAGATTCGTACGTGGTATAAATTATCTTGCGCATTCATACGAAGTCAAAAACTGTTATTTTATACAGATATATATATATATATATGTACACGTATCTATTTCTAATTGCCATATGTACAGCGAAAAGAGTAGTAAATATTATGAGTAACACACTCGTAGTGTTGAGGCAGTGACTTCTATGTAGGCGACCAGTGACCTTGTGACATAAAATATACTGCAGTACGGACTCAGTGGGCGTGGAACGTTCCCCCTCCTATACCGTCAGACTATGTGCCACGCACGTACGTATGCACGTACGCACGCCAAACATACACATCTATTTCCAGCAATATTATAGAATAAACAGCAAAGCGTGCGCAGTGTTCTCATTGGGATACGGGCTCATACCCTTCACTGGATAATTACAGTCGGTAAGTAATTAGTGGTTGATAATAAGGCAACTACAGCTTATAACAAGAGCACAGAACGATGCCTCACAGCCACGACCCAAGGCCCTCACAAGCTAAGTACTGAAATCACACAGAATGCACCGACACTGCAACTGCAATTATACACATGCAGAGTAGCGGGTATACGGAGCGAGTACACGATCTTCTCTATACATGTACTCTGTGTCTCTGTCACATCGTATTGCTGTCGAAATGTAAAAGCTCGCTCAACTGTGGCACCACGCTATGCGTTGAGTTACTTGCGAATACTCGCGAATTCAAATATCGACTTGTAAACGCGCGCGCGTAACATCGTTGTCTTCGTAGCATATTAACAGACAAACGCGCACGCCACATACTCGCGCCGGTTGCACGTGCCTGAGCAGCCAGCGTATATTACATAATTCAGACATACATAACCTAACTACGTCTCGTTTCTTCTATTCGATTTGGGTCGTATCCTTTATTACTTTATCCACCCCCCCCCCCCCGGAGGCGAGGCTAACCCCTACGTGGATCAACCAGGACTCACCACTAACCAGGCACTGATGGTATTAGATCACTAGGCACGCAATATATTACAACCGCCTCGAACAATCTACAATATCATACTACCTACGCACATAGACGGACATGCATACCCGTGTTATTGAAGGTACATGAACCGGGCATCGTATGTGCGCATATATACTTGTCTGTATACTTGACCACTGTGGCATGTGATCGTGAGAAACGACTGGCAATACTGGTCAGTCAATGATTGAGCAGGGAACAGTTTATCATTTGTTAACAATTCTTAAAACGGCAACGCATTCGTTTAAATTCTGTATTTACATTTAAAAGTGCAGCACTCTTATGATCGGCAACCGAACAGCAGTTGCGGATTCAAAGTCTTGCAGCAATGCGAGAGTTCTTCGCAAACCACGAAACCACTGCGATCATAAAACCTGTGGCACCAGTGAAACAGTGAAAAGATCATACAGCCTCTTAACATAAACTCTGCTACAGACCATTCGCCTGAATAACGACGAAAACCACACAGACTATACTAACCCAACTCATAACCTAACATGTAATATAACCGAGGAAAGAATGCTCACAATGTGGTAATTAGTTTGCACACACAAGCAATCGCGTGTTAAGCTCTATATTATGCCACGCCGTCATTTCAGCAATAACAGATCCAGCAGGAACTATGTCTATCTCTCACATACCGTACTCCACGTGAGAAAAATATCACGATAAATCATTATTACTACACTATAGTATCTAGATGCGATTTAAACAGCCTTATAAGGTAATACTACTTTTATATGGTATACATATTCTAAGGTTTCAGCTCGTACATTCAATCAGTAAATATATGGAAGGTAAAATAATTCTCTTATTGAACATATTGTTGACCATATAGAATAATATAAAGTATATTGAAATATAGGAGGGTAGATTTAAACTCGCACAATAAGTCGAGCTTGGCATTTATTTACACAATGGAATTATTCAGGGAATGCTTCAGTAAGGAACGTATGGAAGATGTCCTTCGTTCTCTTTGCACCAAACAGCATGGCAACCATTGAAAAGCAAGTTAATCAATCATTCAATCAATCAATCAATCAATCTTTGTTCAATTGCTTTCAATGAGAGTTTTCCTGTCATAAATCCCGGACAATCTCTAAAGTAGAATGACTAGAATATAAGATTCGATGTAGTTTGGCAAAGCTAGACATGAGAAATCGATCAATGATGATCGACAATGCTCGAGACAACTACGAAAATGTGCGCACAGCATATACAAAGTGCAGCCTCGTTCCCCGTGTCGCAAGTATGATTCTTCAGACAACAGATGGCACTGATGTCGGTACTATGACCAGCTCTAGTAAGGGCTTTTTCTTGTTGCGATATGCTCTCCGAATCATCTCGACGGCTTGGACATGAGTGACCGCCTTCAGGGAGTGTCCATCCACGGACAGTAACTCACAGCCAGCCTACACGACAGAAACACCGACGATAGTGAACATCAGCTAATTATAGATAATTAAACATATTCTATAATGACTAGCATAGTCGAGTACTTACTAGTCGTAACCTTTGAAAATTTTTGGTCCGTATGTAACACGTGCTATAGTCACGATTCGGAAATGTACAAGGAGATCGACGGAGACATTGGGAATTATGGGCTGCCGCGGTTATGTCTTTTCTGTTGTGCTATCCATCAGTATTGCAATCCGTTCCCACTAGGGGGCAGCACGATCCAAACACTGCTACTTTTCTATCTATCTATTCATTCCTCCATCCGTATGTCTGCCTACGATCTGTGGGGCAACGGGTACACGCACGCACGCACGCACGCACGCACGCACGCACGCACGCACGCACACACACGCACGCACGCACATGGCTGTAGGTTGCATGGGGGGGGGGTAAGATGTAGATACTATTAAATGGTCAATGACATTTTGCTATTGAGTGAAATGATTAACTGCCCAGAAAATCAACTGCACATGGCTTGGCTCCAATGCAAAATGAGTTAGCTGTACCCAATAATATATATATATATATATATATATATACATATACATATATGTGTGTGCGTGCGTGCATGTATATATGTATTACACAAATGAACTTGCCTGCAGGAAATGACTGTCTGCAGCAGCACCACCTGCAAACACTCGGTCAATCTTGATCATTGGCTGCGTCTTGCTCTCCGATCCTCCTGATATGCTGATACCTGCGAGTAAACAAACATAAACATTTAATAAACAAAAACAACACGGCCAACCTAACGCCGCACTGCGGAACAGTTGCCTCTGGAAATCACGCTCACAATCGCGGCAACGTCTCTAACATGGAGTAAACACTTAGCTAAAATCACGCTCACAAACGCAGCAACACCTCTAACACCCAGTAAACACCTAGCGAAAATCACGATCACATACGCAGCAACACCTCTAAAACTCAGTAAACACCTAGCTAAAATCGATTGTCATCCTAACACGAACTACGACAGATTTTGAGACGCGTGAATATATTCCTGGGAAACCGGCTCCCACCCCGTCTGCCCGTTGTTCCTCCTTGTAGACTTTACTACAGGATTTTACCAGATTAATTCTCGGACAATAAATTCTGCTCAAACTGGTTCTGGTTTATTCGCAACAGGGCGTGCAATGTTGTTTAGCAGTTATGGGCGTGCAGTGCCCGTTTTAGCAGACAGCAGGGTTATACGCTACACTCCTCGTTTCATGCCGCCCTCACCGGTGGCAGCACCGTCTCGCCGTGCTCACGGCATGGTGGCGCTACCTACCTAGCGAAGACTTTGACTTCGGCAGCTGCACGGTCAGCGGGGATATCGACGACGCGGGTGATGCCGGCAGACTGACCGAAGTGACCGGCGCCGCCGCGACGAGGTCTTGACCTTTGACCGGCGCTGACGCGGATCGCACCACCGCCGACCCCTGCGCGGGCCGCGCCTTCCCGTCCGACGACACGTAGACGGTGCGGTGCACGTCGGTGCTGGCAGGGGGCGCCACCGCGCGGGACAGCTCGGCGGCTGCGTCGGTCGTGTAGCGCTTTGTGTTGCCGTTGATGTCGGCCAACTCCGCGGGGTCAGAGGTCACTGCGGGGGCAAAGGTCACAGCGGGGTCAAAGGTCGCTGCGGGGTCAGATGTCGCCTCGGGGTCGGAGGTCAGCCGGTGAAGCTTGTCCATTGTCTGCTTGACGAGGTAGGGCGAGTGGTAGGCCCTGCTCAGCCGCGCCAGAGTCAGACTCAACTGCTTCGGTTTCTGCGCCGCCCCGGCCGCACTCGTGCGGTTCTTGTACGCGCACATCTTACACGCCGGGCCGCCATTGCTGCCGCCGCCCAGTTCTGTCGAGAAGATCTTGCCGCAGTACGTGCATTCTATGTCCGCTGGCGCGCCGGTCGCCGGCTGCGTCGGGCTTGGCGGCGTCCGGGTCGGCTGCGGTGGCGCCGCCGCGGTGTCACGCTCGGGAATCGCCGAGTCCCTCGGAATGTGGTCGTAACTAACGATGTCCCGCGGCGGCGATGCCACCGATGAGCTAGTGGCGCCCTCTGCCGGGTGGTGCTGTGCCGGTGGGGCGTAAAT